AATTGTGATTATTATTTTGACTTTGATAACACTAATGATATTCTATGTTTCTCCATATTCTAAAGTAGTTTACATTAACAATGAACAATTCCTTAAAGGTTTGTTAGAACTTTACCACATAATCATCTAATCCATCTGAGGAAGAAAAGAATATTTCACTCATCACATTCTGTGATTATTAGCTTACTTGTTCTGGGATTACGCAACTTAAGAAATTTTCAACTCTAAGCTTTTGAAACTAGTGGTAAAAGTAGCACAGAGTATATTCAATTATAACTCTGAAATACTTTCCAATCTAAAATTATGCCTTAATACTCTTCCCCTTTTTTTGAGACAGGGTGTCTCTGTAAGCCCTGGGTGTCCTGGAACTTCCTCAGTAGACCAGGCCTGCCTTGAACTGAGAGATCCCCCTGCCTTTGCCTCCTGAGTACTGGGATTAAAGGTGTGCACCACTATGCCCCAGGCTATATTTAATGTTTTATTTGTGCCTTCTCTTCTTTCTCCATTACATTTGCCAAGTGCTAACTTCTCCCTTTATTAAAATAAACAACATAACCCACAAGTCTTTAAAAGCAGTTGTTGGTTCCTAGCAAAAGGAAACAAGGTAGAGTTCCCATGCTATCCTTCCCATATTCCTTTAGAAATACAAACTACTATCAAAATCCCACCAGACAATGTTACATTCAATGAGCCTACATTATCACTCAAAGCTCACAAGTTACTGCATGCTAAGAAAAGGTTTTATTTTGCAATAAAGGACCAGTCTTCCCTTGTGGCTACACTAGTTTCTACTCCCACCTGCAGTGAATGGGTACTACTATTGTTCTTTACTCTTCACCTGCAGTAAGTGCAGTAAGTAGTTTGGGGTCCTCACCCTTCTAACAAGTAAGTAGTAATATCCCATTGTTTTAATATATGAAACATCTTTTTTGAGATTTTATTTTGTCTATGGGTGCTTTGCCTGTAGTTCTGCCTGTGCACCACAGTGTGCAGTGTCCACAAAGAACAGAAGATGGAATTGGATCCCCTGGAACTGGAGTTGCAAATGGTTGTGAGCTACCACTTGAATACTAGGAACTGAACCTGGGTCCTCTGGAAGAGCACCCAATGAATCTTTTTAAGCACTATGCTATCTTTCCAGCTCCAAGTAAACGATCTTTAAATATTTGGGGGGGGGGGGGTTGGAGAGATAGCTCAGAGAGATGGCACCGACTGCTTTTCCAGAGGTCCTGAGATCAATTCCCAGCACCCACATGGTGGCTCACAACCATCTGTAATGAGACCTGGCACCCGTATACATAATGAATGAATGAATGAATGAATGAATGAATGAATGAATGAATGAATGAACGAACGAACGAATAAACAAGCGAAGAAACGAATGAATAAATAAATAAATCTTTTAAAAAATTAATTTTTTTTCCATCACAGGTGTCTGTTAAAGTTGTCAGCCCCCATTCCATTCCTTTTCTTTTGGTGGGCGTGTAAGTTTAGTTATAAAGCTCAGTCTGGTCTAGAACTCACCATATAACCAGGGCCTTTGACTCTTCATCTTCCTGCTTCCATCTCCCAGCTGTTGAGATTATAGGCATATGCCAATGATGCCTGGCCTTTTTTTGTTTTGTTTTTTGTTTTGTTTTTTGGGGGGTGAGATGGGGTGGGGGGCTCACTATGTAGTCTTGACTGGCCTGAAACTATGTAAACTAGCTGACCTTGAACTGAAGAGATTTCCCTGCCTCTGCCTCCCAAGTGCTGTCTGGAATTAAAGGTGTGTGCCACCATGCTAGCATTTGGTCAGTTTTTAAATCAAGTTGTTTTTTTTTTTGCTGAGTTCTAAGAGTTCTTTGTGTTATTTGGGTTACAAGTCCTTTCTTTAACAGCAAAAATGTTCTCCCCATTTGTGGCTTTGATATTTCCATTTTTAAAATTCACTTTAAGACTTTCTGATTTATACTTTTTTTTAATTCATGTCTGCTTTTATCTTAAATATCCTGAGTTTATTTTTCTAACTTGTTTTCAAAAGCTTTATCCCATTTTTCACCCCATTATCATTTTTATAATAAATAAATACACTTAAAACTGAACATTTCCATGTACTTTTCTCACATCTCTGTGTATTTTCATTTAGCTCCAATTATGTTGGTACACCAAGAGTCAACAGATGAACACTGTGGCTCACCTTGGTGATCTCAGCACTGAGGAGCATGTGGCAGACGACCTGAGTGAGTCTGAGGATCACCAAAGCTATACAGTGAGTTTCTGAACAGTGAAAAACTTTACCAAAAAAAAAAAAAAAAAAGGTTTTAAAAAGGACTGCACTCCCCACCCCATGCCCCAAAAAACCCCACAAGAATATTTAATATTCCCTAAGAGGGATAAGGGAACTAACAGTTCCCACAAAACTGAATAATATTATAAAAAGAATAGCTCAAGGTGATGAAGGGTTGGCACTCAAGACACTGAAGAGCAGAAAAGATAAAGAAAAATAGCTCACTTTAAAAATAATGTTCGGGGGCCAGGCAGTGGTGGCGCACACCTTTAATCCCAGTACTCGGGAGGCAGAGGCAGGCGGATCTCTGTGAGTTCAAGGCCAGCCTGGTCTACAAAGCAAGTTCCAGGAAAGGCGCAAAGCTACACAGAGAAACCCTGTCTTGAAAAACAAACAAACAAAAAATAATAATGTTCGGATGTAGTGGGACACTTGTAACCCCACCACTCAGGAGGATCCTTACAAGTTCCAGGCCACCCTGGACACATAGCAAGTCGAGGCCAGCCAGGCCAGCCAGGAATATATTCAGTGACAATCTGTCTTTGGGGGCTGAGGGAGCAGCCAAAGATGGTAATGCATATCTGTAATATCAGCACTTAGGAGGTGTAGGAAGGAGCTCAAGACCAGAATGGGCTACATAAGAACACAGTGAGATGGTTCAGCAGATTAAGATGCTTGCTGTCACATATGATGAAAAGACTTAAATCCTCAGGACTCACAAGATAAGAGAAAAATCAACTACACACACACACACACACACACACACACACACACACACACACACACACACACACACGACTGTCGCCAGAAAGGATTTTTTTTTTAAGGATCAAGGAGGTAGGGATGGAGTAATAGCACTAGCTGCTGCTTACCAAAAATGTAAATTATCATCAACTTACCAAGCTGAGTGGGGAAGAGGAAAGGATAGATAAGAACAAATAAGCTAGTGTTCGTGTCATACAGAAAAAGGATACAGATACTACACCCAGTTATAATATAGTTTTACAAAGTCTGTGTATAAAAACTACTAGGAAAACTGAAACATAAAACATGAACATTAGTAGAGAATAACAAAACAAAAATCCAACGGTGCCAACAGAATAAACAAACAAAGTATGGTAAAGTGCAACTTAAAATAGCAAAAGCTAAATCTAAACAGAAATTATCATAAAACATGAATATATATTTAGAGCTTTTAAATATTTTTTTAAATCAACTGTATCTTATTTGCAAAAGTTGTATCTAAAAAGCAAATAATCCATAAAGGGTGAATATTTAGAATTAGAAAGTACATAAAACGCTTTTAAAATGAAGCGTAACAGTGCTAATATCAGACAACACTAAGTACAATATTTAATTGAAAAATGTTTTCAGCAATGTTACAAAGGAAAACTCAAGACTATAATGTAAACTAAAACTCTTTTTCTTAGAAGTATCATAAAATATGCCTCAAAGTAAATGACAATAAGATTAAAAAACACCACTGACATCAGTAAAGACAGCAAGGCACATGGGGATGGAGGTGTCAGAATATGAAGAAGCATTTATCCTTCAGAAACCCAGGGAAAGCTGGATATAATGTTTTTAAGACAAACTTTAGAGATCAACAAACATGTTCTGGTCTTTCTGTTACAAAACTGAGTTAAATAACAAGTCTCAAAACTCAAGTTTCCACATCAGGTAAGAGGAGGCAATAGTTTCTAGCCCTAAAAAACTATCAGGAGACAGAGCATGGTTGCTATGCCTTTAGTCCCAGCAGAGATAGAGGCAGGGGCAGGCAGTATGTTTGAAGCCAACCTGGTCTATATAGAGTGTTCCAGGCTAGCCAGAGCTGCAGTGAGACTCTTGTCAAAAAACTAAAACCAAAATCCAACCAAACCAAAAATACTATCAGAAGAATAAAATCAAATAGTATCTAACAGAAAGTACTCAATAACTTACTATTAAATTATAACTCAGATACAAAGTATATGAGTTACATTTCTAATATTATTTAATATCTGATTTATATAGCACTTTGAATATGAAAGTCAAATGCAAAACTTTCCCCATTCATTTATCAGTTCCCAACAAGCTGTAATTTTTACAATTAAGATTGCTGATAAAGTTTATAAGAGTAAACGGAAGCTGTTACCCTAACAACAGCCCCCAAATACCTAATCTAAGGAACCAAGGGAGTAGTTAATACTGTCAGTCTCTAGCCCAGTAACTTACTCTTTTAAAACTAGATCTATTTTGAGAAGCAACCTTTGTAAAACATCCAACAGAGCCGAATTCTGCTCTAAAATCAGAGAACCAGGACAAGCATCTAGGTTTGACAGCTAGGAAACATAACCAACTTCTCACTTTTGTTTTTACTGAATAAATGTCATTTATATACCTAATATAGATTTAAAGTTCATGAATAATAAACCTTAAGTGACTAATACGTAAGATCTTATGTGTTCTAAGAACATTAGTAAGTGCTTTTTTAAATCTACTTTTAGTTTGTAATATTCAAGATATACCTAATAAGCAGAAATAAAGTATTTCACTTCCAAAATAAAGCAGAATTTAACCTGAATTTCGTAACACTAACTTCATTGCAAAATTTTCAATACAAGAAATAGCAGCAATTATTACTTACACATTGGTTTGCTCACTACTATATAAATCAATTCCTGCTTATAAATTCAGTTCAATGGGCTTTTTTGTTACTTCTAAGTCAAAGCTAACAATACAAGTTCCTTACCTTTCCATTAGCTTCTCTTTATCCCAATTGAAGTGGCTAAGGAGTATTCTTGTGATAGTTGCTGGATTCTGAAGGAGGGGGAAAAAAAACATTTTAAAGCAATTGTATCTCATTGACTTTTTTTTGTATGTGTATGTTTTTCTGTGTAATTCAGGCTGGCCTTCAATTCATAATTCTCTTGTTTAAGCATCCCAGGTGCTGAGATTACATGAATGCACCAAGCCCAGCTCTTTCACAAGAAAAAAATTTGTAGGCTAGATTTCAAGTTCCCTAATAACGCATCCAAACTTTCTGTCCCAGTATACTTCTTTTCTGCACCATTGCTGAAGCACAAAAGCACTGCTTTACCACTAAGTCCCACCCACAATATCCTTTCCTAGATCCCAGCACGCAGGAGGCAGAGGTGAGCAGATCTCTGTGAGTTTGAGGTCAGCCTGGTCTACAGAGCTAGTTCCAGGCTGTTACACAGAGAAACCCTGTCTCAAAAAAAAAACAAAGACAGAGGGGGGAGAGGGAGAGGGAAGAAGGGAGGGAGAGAGGGGGAGAGAGGGGGAGAGAGAGAGAGAGAGAGGGGGAGAGAGAGAGAGA